GTTTTGACTTTTCAGAGGTGGATATCAGGGCTGGAGAAAATCAATAGAATATCAGGGAGGTAGAGAATTGATCAGAAAATCAGAGATATCAAACCAATTTTGAAGAGATCTTGTTTTCACTGAGTTGTGGTTGAATTTATCTTTGCTGACCCCAACTGGCAAATGCTTTTGACTTTTCAGAAGTGAAAATTGGGGCCAGAGAAAATTGATAGAATATCAGAGAGGTAGAGAATTGATCAGAAAATCAGAAATATCAAACTGAATTTAAAAAGATTTGGTTTTGGCTGAGGTGCAATTGAATTTGCTGTTGATGACCTCAACTGACAATTGGTTTTGACTTTTTGGAGGTGGATATCAGGGCTGGAGAAAATCAATAGAATATCAAAGAGGTAGAGAATTGATCAGAGAATCAGAAATATCAAACTGAATTTAAAAAGATCTTGTCTTGATTGAGTTGTGTTTAAATTTCTATGTTCTGTCAGAATTTTGACTGTGTTCTGCAGTTGTATCACTTTGATGGAGTATAATAGAGTTTGATGGAATAATTATGTAAGTTCAGACTTCAATTCAGCTTTGGTGTTGCTGGTTAAGGCTTAGTAAGCCAGGAACACAAAAACTTTTCACTGTGAAAGACTGATGGAGAGCCACCAAAACTGAGTGAATTCTTAATCAGTTTGAAAATGCAAGTATTTTCCTCTTAAATATAGATTCTTTGACATAAATGCAATCAATTTCCAATATTTCATAGCTGTATTGGAGATGGTTGTGTTGTGATGACCAGATAAAGTGTCTGAGTAGTCAAAACTGACAATCCAGTCTTTGGTGTAAGATTTCCCACCCACCACAGTGAATTGCCAGATGAAAATGGAGAGAATAATTAAGTAAGACATGAGCTTTCCAATGGATATATTTTCATTAAATTTGATCCAGAATTGATGGTGTTTCATATGAAGTGCTGTGAGTGAGTGATTGAGTCTTTGAATTGGAACTGGAGTTTCAAGTACTGAAATGGAAATGAGACTTAATTTAAAGAGATTGAAATTATGTAATTAGAAATAGAAATTCTCAATTTTCCTAAAATTAAAATAAAATCTTATTTTCCACTATTTTTAGTACCAAAATCATATACAAATGTATATATGCATTTTGACTTAATGTGCCAATTTTTCTATTTTGTCATATTTTGATGTAAAAATACACTTTCAAAATAAAGTTTGAAAAAAAATTAAAATTGTTTTAGGGATAGGAAAATCTAGAAATGGGACTTAAAATAAAAAATTTGAAACTGGAAAGTGAATGGGACTTTTATTCATATTTTGAGATGAGATTGCAACTAATTTTCAAATCTTGAGAAGAGATTGAGATCAACTCAATTGAAATTGACATTCAGTCTTGTTCCATTGAGATTTCAAAGAGATCTCAATGATCAGTCTACTTAGATTATCATACTTCATGTCATTTAAGATTTATAACTCTGTGACTAATGACATGATCTCATTAGCATAGCTAAACACACAAAATCTGTCATGAATGCTTCTTTATGAAGATCAGTGGCAACATATCTAGAGACTCTAAATACTGTTGTAGCAATACAAATTACTCTTCTCTCTCTCATACTTAGATCTTCTTGTAACCACTTTCCACTCAATCTAATCTCACTTATCAAGATCATAAATCATTGCCACATTATCTGCAACCTCAATCCTCCCACTCAGCTTAGTAAAAATATGCTTTCAAAATAAAATTTTCAAAAATATTAAGGTTGTTTCAAAGACAGAACAATTTTCAAAAAAGACTTCAAATATTAAATTTAAAACTGAGAAGATAATAAAATTTTTACTAGTATTTTAAACTAAAATTGAAATTAACTATTAAATCATGAGAAGAGATTGAGATCAATTAAGTTGAATTTTACTTTCAGTTTAATTTCTTAAAATTTCTATAATGATCTCAATGATCATTAGTCTACTGAATGTTTATATACTATTAGATTAACATACAGTTATAATTGATAAAGATTTATTAAGTGCTAAATGTTTTTAATTCAATCTTTTTAATTCTTAGATCTATTAAGTATAAAATTTTTTAAAATAATATGTTAATTTCTAATCAACTATTAAACTTAAGATACTTACTCCAGATTTTAATATTTTATAGATTTAGATCAGTAAATTATAAATTAAATCTATACAAATTTTATAAATAAAGTTTAACTTTTCAACTAGACTGATCACTGAGATCAGAATTTCCCAGTCAAAATTCTGTCTCTAATAAATTTCATAGAGAATTGAGACAGAACTGAAACTTAATGATTAAAACTGAGAAGTACTAAAACTAGACTGACTGCTGGAGTCTCTTTGGAATCTCAAAGGGACAAGACTGAATGTCAATCCCAATTGAGTTGATCCCAATCTTTTTCCAAAATTTGAAAATTAGTCCCAATCCCATCCCAAAATATGAATAAAAGTCCCATTCCCTCCTCAGTTTTAAATTTTCTATGATATGTCCCATCTCTAGATTTCTCTATCCCTAAAACAACTTTAATTTTTTTTCAAACTTTATTTTGAAAGTGTATTTTTACACCAAAATATGACAAAATACAAAAATTGGCACATCAAGTCAAAATGCATATATACATTTGTATATGATTTTGGTACTAAAAATAGTATAAAATAAGATTTTATTTTAGATTTAGGGAAATTGGGGATTTCTATCTCTAATTAAATAATCTCAATCTCTTTAAATTAAGTTCCATTTCCATTTTAGTACTTGAAACTCAAGTCCCAGTCCCATCTCAGTTTAAACTATCAAGTCTCAGTCCCATCTCAATTTCCCATTAGTGCATTAGAAATGGGATCCCAGTTGGGAAATCTCTGTCTCTGTGATCAGTCTAACTAAAACTTAAGTTCTATGTACTGTACTACTGAAATGGAAATGAAACTTAATACAAAAAAAATTGAGACTATTCAATTACAGACAGCAATTTCAGATTTCTAGAAATCTAAAATAAAATCTTATTTTATACTATTTTTAGTATTAAAAGTATATAAATGTATACATGAATTTAGACTTGATGTGACAATTTTTCTATTTCAAAATAAAGTTTCAAAAAAATTGAAGTTATTTCAGAATCTGAGAATTTTATAAAAGAGATTTGAAACTTAAAATTTAAAACTGAGATGAGAATGAAACTTTTATCAGTATTTTGTAGACTGACTGTTGAGTTCTCTTTGAAATCTCAATGAAACAAAACTGAATGTCAATTTCAATTGAGTTGATTCCAACCTCTTCTCAAAATTCAAAAGTTTGTCACAATTCCAGCCCAAAATATGCTAGTATTTTGAATAAAAATGAGACTTATCATTAAATTTTAAGAGAGAAATGAAACAAATTGAGTTGTACTGTTCTCTAATCTTAGTCTCTGAAGAATCTCTATAGAGATTTCTGTGGTCAGTCTACTTTAAACTTCAATCATTCATTCAATATATGATCAAAACTTAAAAGTAGTATATATAATAAAAGTAGAAATAATAGTAAAATGAAGTAACTTTAATGTATCTTCAAATAATAATAATATTTTTGAAAAAGTATGTAATATTTATGTGACTGAAAGTCTATAATATTGCATCTAATCTATTTCTAACAAACAAGACAGCTATAGTTACAGACAAACATACTATAACTGAGACTATGGAAAAAGCATATGAAAAATCTCTAGCAAAACCTCCACCAGTGTAATAGTCAAAGATAATGAAATTGGTACCATGGTTGAAAAGAGGAGGTGGCAAACCTACAGTTCTCCAGTTCCTCCTTTGGGGACAGGGTCACCTGACCAGTCATTTGACTCCTGCTCAGGAGCCCATTGTTTTTTGTCGCCTAGCTCCTCACCTAGTTAGCCCCTTGGCAGTCAGAACACATCCAAATCGACCGGGAAACTGAGGCAAACTCCATTACCCTACTTGTCAAGTTGTTGTCTACGAGTAGACGAGAATTGATTGTTCGATTTCTGAGCACTTGACATAATTACTCTGTGCACTGCATTATGTCTACAAAACAAATGGTGCTGTAAGAGCTCTCCTCCAGCTTTGTATAACACCATACTCAACCCTCCAGGTCACTTTACCGACGTGCATTGAAACTCTCCCTTGACTGGGCTGTTCATCGGCAGCTATGGCGCGGCCAAGCTATGTACATTCGGTCTCTGTTTGATGCAAATAAGGATGTTCGCGACCCGCGTCAACGAATGGCATGTTTCCTTAAGCTTTATTCAACTTGATTTTTCCCTCATTGACAGAGTCCATTTTACAATTAGATACTTATGCAGGAAACCGAAAAGCTCCTCGAGGAATGGAAGCACCCAGATGCATACAGATCGCCGACGGCGCCTGGCGGCAAGCTCTTACCATTCCTGCCTAAACTCCAATTTTTCAAACTAATGTGTGCTCATATAGGATCCAAATATGAACGGAATCTGGAGGCACCTATACTCAACGGTAGGCTACCTTCCGACTCCATATCCCAACCGCGCTCACTAACGCCCCTAAGCCCCATTATCACAGGATCAGTAAATCAAACAATGACAATGTGCGCCTCAATGCCTTTTTATACATCAAATAATTTGTTGGTTTTTTTTCCTATGGATCCAGACCAGGCAACCGGTCAGCTATACCAAACATGGGTGCCAGCCAAATATAAATCAATCAAGATCCGCAACGTAGAACGGAAAATACACGTGCAATTTAAGCGCGGGAGAATGATATTCAGAGACCGTCTACATTATCGAACACAGAAGCCCGCATTGAAGTTTTCTGTTGTATCGCAAGCCACATTTCGGCGAACCATCGCATCAAGGATGCCCATGAAGACATAATGTACATAACTGCTATTTAATAAAGAACAAAAGGATCCATATCGACCAACCGTAACCCCATAGCTACCCCCCACCAAAGAATGAAACCATAAGTTGACGCCAGAGGAATTGAAAGGAAATACTAAGTGGTTCAAAGTTCTTGACTGGGATTCTTTCCACCTTTTGGAGTCTTCTTCGGAAGAAGATCTGTCGGAAAAGTGTTATTAGTACACCAATGCTACAACAAGAACTAGACACGTACTCTGATGGATATGGGGCATAACACCGCCTTGTGCGATTGTCACATGCCCCAAAAGCTTATTCAATTCTTCATCGTTGCGAATAGCGAGCTGTAAGTGACGCGGAATAATACGAGTTTTTTTATTATCTCTAGCGGCGTTGCCGGCCAATTCAAGAATTTCGGCAGCGAGGTATTCCAAAACCGCTGCCAAGTAGACAGGTGCACCTGCAAAATTTCCTTTAAGTAAGGGTTCATTATGAAAGAAGCCAAAATACCCAACATACCAGCACCAACACGTTGAGCGTAATTGCCTTTTCGAAGAAGACGGTGAACACGACCAACGGGGAAGGCCAGGCCAGCCTTCGAGGAACGTCTAGAATTCATTAGTTTATGAGAAATTATGACCGCTTCAGTATGGAACATACGATTGAGAGCTCTTTGAGCCGCTAGCTTTACCACCAGATTTACCACCGGTCATTTTGAATAATGCGTGGAGTTGAAATTGATTATTTAAAAGAAGACGAGAGGTGTAAAAGTTTAATAGCGTTGAATAATCGGAGAGGGATGGAGGAGAGTAGCGTAAAAGAGAGTTGGTGGTTGGTGGAGGCGACTTTAAATAAGAACGGGTGCAGGGTGGGTGGAAAATCCAAAGACGACTCAGATCAACAGAGGGGAGCTTTCAGGTGGCTTACAAATCAGACCAATCGTACAGCGCAATTTGCATGGAGAGAGTACCACAGACTGCCAATGAAGTAAGAGCAAACATATTTAGCGCATACTGACCAATACCGCATTCTGACGTACTTTACGCGACATCGCCTGCAATTTTGATTGCTAATCATACGAATCATACAGAAATCTTACCGTATCGAAATTCTGCTTCCTTCGCCCACCTAAGATCAACCAACGATTTTGGTGTTCTTATAAAGCAGGCCACTATCCTTTCCATGTCAATGCTCATTTTCTACTTTCTGTCTTCTAACACTGAAATTCATCGACTCCCATATTACTGTCTTGCGATATTTTTTCACTACTAATACTACTCTAAAATAAGAACCGACTTATTTTAAAGAATGGCCCCAAAAGCTGCTGAAAAAAAGCCCAGCACCGGCGGAAAAGCACCCGCTGGTGGCAAGGCCCCCGCCGAAAAGAAGGAGGCGGGCAAAAAGACGGCGGCTTCTGGTGAAAAGAAGAAGCGAACCAAGGCTCGGAAAGAGACCTACTCTTCCTACATCTATAAAGGTACCATTTCAAAGCTCAAGTAACAGAATCTTGTGTCGCTTAAATTCTGTTTCCAGTCCTCAAGCAGGTCCATCCTGACACCGGAATCTCGAATCGTGCCATGTCTATCCTTAACTCTTTCGTCAATGGTATTTTGAGCGTCTTAGGTTTCCTGGTATCCCGCTTTCTAATATAACGATAGATATCTTCGAGCGCGTCGCCACAGAGGCTTCAAAACTTGCCGCGTACAATAAAAAATCGACCATTTCCTCTCGGGAAATACAGACATCGTACGCTAGAGACCAAATCATTCTTTAAAAATGTAATATGCTAACACAAATAGTGTGCGTTTGATTTTGCCCGGCGAATTAGCCAAACATGCCGTTTCCGAAGGAACGAAAGCGGTGACCAAATACTCGTCATCTGCCAAATAGATGATTGTTTAAACCATGCTTCTTTTTTTTTAAATTCCCGGACTGGGTTTACGGTTGCGCGGCGGGGTTGGGTGTTCAATTGAGGATTTCGTGTTTCCTGGGATTGGCTGGTTTTTGTTCTGACGTTATGTGCTCTTTTCAATGAAGATCGAGGCTCTTTGTACAATATGTATACAGCGAGAGGAGAACTGGGATGAGAAGTTCGCCTAAGGGCTGATCCACGAATGAAGCAATTTTTGCTCCGCAAATGAAGTTTTACCAAATTTCATAATTATATGGTAAGTTACTCAATAAATCTGCTATATAAGATATGAAAAGTTTGGCAAATAGGGGAAAATTCGATTAGTTGTCCCCATCTAGGACCTCAACCTCGCTCAGCGCTTCTCTTTCGATGCACTGGCTAAAATCTGGCGGTTCGCCGTCGACTACATGAATGATTTTTTTTTCAGGTACAGAGCGCACACGTTGTTTCCAATCTTGCCAATCTTGGTCATTCCGGATGAGGAATCCAATCAACATACTCGGATCCATTTCTTTAATGTGCAATCTTCGAAGCCGTCTAGTGTGATAGGAATTAACATCATCAGATGAAAGGATAGACCCTGGGTTCCATGAAACCGCGGACTGTGTAAGATGGGGATCAAGGTAGAAAAAGTGAAAGCCTTGAACCCCTACAAAATAAAACGAGGACGACGGGCGGCCACTATTTGAAATTAGCGAGGACCAGTAATTAAGAGTGTTTAAATATCAATATCCTACCCGGCAATGCCAACTGACTGAGGATATCTCATAACCGCGGTAAGCGCTTCCCAATACACGCGGGTAACCTTATCTATGCCCAGGCGAATCGCCAGCAAAATAAGAGTTGGCCGAGTGATGCCTGGTCCGGCTATTTGACGGAAGCGATCTTCATACACGTCAGGACCGTCGATGCTTAAGTAAACGTTTAATCCAGCCTGTTTATATTCACTGGATAGCGCCCTGTGACAAATGAATATTACGGGGTCTTAGTTTCAAATGGTTTTAGAAACGTACGCGATGCAGTATGCCGTGGTAGAGGGTCCAAACCATTCTCCTGGTTGTTTTCCGCAAGCAGATGCTCCATGCCCAACAAATCGATGTATAGAAAAGGGAGCATGTGGATCATCAATAAACAACGATAACAACGCACTTTCCTCTTCCGTCTTGGAGCCTCGTCTCCAATCTATGCATTATCAGCAAGTTGCCGGCTCGTTAATAGGCAAAGTCTGCTATACCTCTACCGAGATTCAGGGCGCATAGAGCATTTGCTAAGAGACTCTGCCCCGATCTAATCATACAACCCCATCCGGTATCACTTGTAAAACCATGTGTATCCAAGAACTGGGTTCGAAGCCGCGTGTGAAGTTTAAGAGAAGAATGAGCAACCGGATCCGCGGATTTAGATATCACTGGAAAATTCGAACGATATGTGGACCATGTTTTTGATTCAAAATCATCAAGAAATGAAGAAGGCCAATCTCGACACTCAGGCGTGTGTGGCGGGGAAGATTCTGTTTTGCCCAAAGGCTGTGAGCTTATCAAAAAGTGATGGTCAATAGTGGATGGAGGTGTAATTTCCTTCTGGATCTCTGATCTCTCAATAACCCTAGGGTTATGAGAGGTTGAGGCCCGGTATTCAATTCCCATACACCAGATAGACTCATCTGGGTTGAGGTCGTTCTTCGGTTCGGGGTCCCAAATGTATTGAAAAATTTTTTTATATCTTTGGCCGATATCGACATTGCTCATCATGACTGGCCACAGCTAATCACCAAGCAGGGGATATATAACGGTTGAGAATATATGTACCGTAGAAAGGGGCGGAATAATCAAAATATGACATCAACTGATTACTCCGCAGTTAGTTAGTTACTGACTAGGTGAATACTCGCCACTGTGCCTTTATGTAACGTAATCCCCCACCAAGCGCCCGATCAACAACTTCTTACTTAGATAGAGAGTTCAGCCTCAATTTCAAGTAGTTAAAATCAATAAAATAGCTGCATTGTATTGGGCTATCTGGTTTATATGGTAATTTCAGCCAGAGGCCCAGAAGATGATGTGCAGGAATCTTTGTGTGCCAAGAACTAGTTATCGGACACTTTGCATACAATATATAGTTAAGTTGTCTGGTTGGTGCCCTCCTGCTCTCTTATGTAGTTAAACCACCTTTTGTAGCTCGAGCTCTGAACAAACCCATCAACATTGCAGAACATGCTCCAAAAGTACTCTGTTTTGCTTTCATTTTCTCTTACTAGTTATCTTGAATGGCAAAACCTAAAAGGTCAAACATGCGACTTCATGGAAAATCTGGCAGATACAAAGGTATTTTCCTCCCTACCTCACCCCCCAGTTCCTACTATTGCAAAACTCGAACAAAATATGGAATCGAATAAAGGTGAAGACCATGGTGGGCAGCACTATTTGCTACATAATTAGATTAATAAGTTAACCTTACTAATAATACAATTCTCATCTGGGCCTCAGAAATGCATTCCCAGCCCAGCATGAGCCAGGAGGCGCTCAATACGGACCAACAGGCTCTCGAAAGATCTATTATGCAGTCACGATTTCATAAGATTCAATTCATCAGCAAGGGATATATGATGCCAGACTTCCCGCAGAATCTGGAGGAGCAGAATTACCTGACACCCCCAGCGATGAAGGTGCAACCAACAGCTGCCCATTTTGAAACAACGCCCCCAAGTTGCAACCGGATACACATACTCGCAATGGAGCCTGCACCTACTCTACATGGGAACCACGAAAATGCCAGCCCCAATTCTGATGAAGATAGAATAGTTTTTAGGGGCAGACTAAATGCAGAATACGAGGCGCAGGTTTTACGGAGCAAACATGATATTAATGACTTTTCCTACGTCCGGCCTGAATTACCAAACAACTATCGGGCAGAAATTTCCCCCCTTACAAATTTTGAAACTGCTGGATTTTGTTCTCCATCTGCCCCGAGTGAAACCAATAGAGATCCTCCGATGACACAGCCGAGACTCGATTATTTATCGAATAAATCTGTACAGATCAAAGAGTTTCGGGAATGTGAAGCCGCTATTTCTAATATTGCTATCGCCGATTTTACTGCAGACTTGCATCAAGACCTGCAAGTGAAAACATCGCTGCATTCGGATACAAATGATGCATACCAAGACCACAATAATATTGTTACAGGTGCAGTGTCTAATCACGAAGCCGGGGAGGAAGCTTCAAATCCAATTGTCGATACCACCGCGATAGACTATAGCCTAGGCGACGAGAAATTACTCGTTTCAGATAGTGAGAGTGATGGACATGATGATAACGGAAAAGCATCCTGGGAACATATGTATTCCGTCTTATCACCGGACTCCGAATCATATGAGGACTTTGATATACTGGATTTTAGCAGGGCCAGTCTAAAAAATGCGAATAGAAAGCAGCAGCGTCTCCCCACTCTTGCCATGTCCGACTCCGACCTCGAACGGGAGCTCCGCACTTCATGGCAAGCCGATCGAAGGAAAAAGGTTGAGGCCAAAAAGAAGCGAGAAGAGTTGCGTTTTCAAGGATTACTTGGCCGTAACACTAGTCAGGCTCACAAGATCAATCACTCCAACGTTAGTGGGCTGGATACCATTAAAAACGAAATTCGATCTTTCTTACTATCCCAAGACCAAACGTATTACCACCCCCAGCTTTTAACAAGGGACCGGATGCTAACTTTTCTAACTACAGCCTCACACTTCCCCCGATGGAGAAGAAAATGCGCAAGCAGATTCACCGTTTAGCGAATCACTTGTCGCTGAAGTCTCAGTCAAGGGGACGTGGTAGATCGCGTTTTCCCGTGTTAATAAAGACTTCTCGCACGCGTACTTTCGACGCAAAATCGGTCAATGACCTTAATATACTATACAACAGTACATCGGACATGCGACCGGGGAGTATAACAAGCCGAAGGAGCAGCAAACGGGAAAAGACTGCGCCTTACATTGAGGGGGAAGTTGTGGGGGCATCCGCCCCCAAAATAGGCGCAGGAAGTAAAGGTTGGATGATGCTGGAAAAGATGGGGTGGACGAATGGGTCATCCCTCGGAGCCTTGCACAACAAGGGAATCTTACAGCCTGTGTCGCACATTGTGAAAACAAGCAAGGCCGGTCTACAATAATTCCAACAATAAATCTCAGCGTACTCCAATTTTACATATACATAGGGAGACGTATCAGACGACACAGGAACATGTGATGATCATGTGACTGAGAGTCTATACTATTGCGTCTGGTCTGTTCCTGATGAATGAGACAGTGGTACTTATAGATGAACATGCTATACCCAAGACTATGGGAAAAATATATGAAAAATCTCTAGCAAAACCTTCATCAGTTTAGGCTGACCACAGGGACAGGGATTTCCCAACCGGAATCCCATCTCTAATGAACTAATGGGAAATTGGGATGGGATTGAGATGTCATGATTCAAAGTGGGATGGGACTGAAACTTGAGTTTCAAGTACTGAGATGGGAATGGGACTTAATTTAAAGAGATTGAGATTATTCAATTAGAGATAGGGATTTCCAATTTCCCTAAACTAGACTGACTGTGGGGACAGAGATTTCCCAACTGAGATTCTGTTTCTAATGCACTAATGGAAAATTAAGATGGGCTTGAGACTTGATGATTCAAACTGAAATGAGACTGAAACTTGAGTTTCAAGTACTGAGATGAAAATGAGACTTAATTTATAGAGATAGAGATTCTCAATTTTTCTAAACTTAAAATAAAATCTTATCTTATACTATTTTTAGTATCAAAATCATATACAAATGTATATATGCATTTTGACTTAATGTGCCAATTTTTCTATTTTGTCATATTTTGGTTTAAAAATACACTTTCAAAATAAAGTTTGAAAAAGAATTAAAGTTGTTTTAGAGATAGAGAAATCTAGAGATGAGACTCAAAATATAAAATTTGAAACTGAAAAGAGAATGTGTGAGAATTGAGTGGTGCAGATAATATGACAATGATTTACAGTTTTCATAAGTGAGATTAGATTGAATGAGAGATGGTTACAAAAAGAGTGAAGCATAAGAGAGAGAGATAACTTATATTGCTACAACAGTATTTAAAGTCTCTAGATATGTTGCCACTGATCTTTATAAAAAAATATTTGTGACAGATTTTGTGTCTTCAGCTATACTAGTAAAATTATGTGATTAGTTATGAAGTTTATGAATCTCAAATGACATGAAGCATAATTATCTAAGCATTAAGAAGATTTCACAATCTCATTATTTGTTTTCAAATTTCTGTGGAGAAAAGATATAAATCACTGCCCTGACACTCTTGTATGTTTTTCATTTCAAATCACAGCACTTGATATGGAACACCATCAATTCTAAGTCAAATTTAATGAAAATATATTCATTGAAAAGCCCTTATTTCACTTAGTTATTCTCTTCATTTTCATCTAGCAATTCACTGTGAAGAATAAGAAATCTCACATCAAAGACTAAGTTGTCAGTTTTGACTATTCTGACACTTTGTCTGATCATCACAACATAATCATCTTCACTACAGTTCTGAAACATTGGAAATTGATTTCTTTTGTGTTAAGAAATCTATATCCAAGAGGAAAATACTTACATTCTCAAACTGATTAAGAATTCACTCAGTTTTGGTGACTCTCCATCAATTTTTCACAATGAAAAGTTTTTGTGTTCCTGGCTTACTAAGTCTTAACCAGCAACATCAAAGCTGAATTGAAGTCTGAACTTATATAATTATTCCATCAAACTCTATTATATGTCATCAAAGTGGTACAACTGCAGTGTAAGACTTCATGCTGCAGTCTTCTTACATTCATTTCATCATCTAAAAGAGGTTCATAAAATCTTCTCAATGCTTAGATGATCATGCTTCATGGCATCTGAAGTTCATAAACTTCATGGCTGATTACATAATCACACTAGCAAAGCTGAACACACAAAATCTGCCACAGACACTTCTTTATAAAGATCAGTGGCAACATATCTAGAGACTCTAGATACTGTTGTAGCAATATGAGTTATCTCTCTCTCTCTCATGCTTAGATCTCTTTGTAACCACCTCTCACCCAACCCAACCTCATTTATGAAGACTGTAAGTCATTGTCACATTACCTGCAACCACCCAATCCTCACATGCAGAACACAACCAAAATTCCAGCAGAACATAGAAATTCAATCACAACTCAGTCAAAAGAAAATCTTTTTAAATTCAGTTGAATATTTCTGATTTTCTGATCAATTCTCTATCTCTCTGATATTCTATCAATTTTCTCCAGCCCTGATTTTCACTTCCAAAAAGTCAAAATCATTTGCCAGTTGGAGTCAGCAAAGATAAATTCAATCACAATTCAGTCAAGACAAGATCTCTTCAAAATTGGTTTGATATCTCTGATTTTCTGATCAATTCTCTATCTCTCTGATATTCTATTAATTTCCTTCAGCCCTGATTTTCACTTCTGAAAACTCAAAACCATTTGCCAGTTGAAGTCAGCAAATATAAATTCAATCACAATTCAGTCAAAACAAGATCTCTTCAAAATTGATTTGATATTTCTGATTTTCTGATCAATTCTCTATCTCTCTGATATTCTATTGATTTTCTCCAGCCCCAATTTTCACTTCTGAAAAGTCAAAACCACTGGCCAGTTGGGATCAGCAAAGATAAATTCAATCACAACTCAGTCAAAACAAGATCTCTTCAAAATTGATTTAATATCTCTGATTCTCTGATCAATTCTCTATCTCTCTGATATTCTATCAATTTTCTCCAGCCCTGATTTTCAGTTCTGAAAAGTCAAAACCATTTGCCAGTTGGGATCAGCAAAGATAAATTCAATCACAACTTACACAAAACAACTCTTCTCTCTTTCTTATTTGTCTCAGAGGCATAGACTCTCTCAGTCACTGATTTCTGCATTCATCAGCTAGTGGTGGTTAAAATTGCTCTTTTATAGTTAGAATAATCATACTAGACTTGTTGATTTTCTAGCAAAGAAGAAGGCTTTTTACTTACATATCATAACAGTTTCTTTCAGTTCTTCTGCAGTTGGAATTTGACTTTGCCTTGAGATACATTAGTGTCTTGCAAAGAAGAATTAGAATTGTAATCTGAGATTGAAAAAGAACTGAGTTATCTTAAATCTTAGATATTGATTCTGAGATTCTGATAAAGTTGCTTGTCACTCTTCAAAAAGACAAGAAGAGGTTTTTTCCTGAGCTTGACTTCTCAGATAGACAGAAACAGCACATAAGTCATTTATTTTCTGTGATCAACATAAGATATAGAGACTAAAGTTACACTCTTGAAGTGTGAGAATAGTTGATATATTGAACTGTATTGAACAACAGAAGCACATGATGATCATGTGACTGAGCATCTATAATATTGTGTCTTGGTCTGCTTCTAACAAATGAGACAAGAATACTTATAGATGAACATGCTATAATTAAGACTACAGAAAAAACATATGAAAAACCTCTAGCAAATCTCTGCCAGTCTGATAGTCAAAGATAATAAAATCAGTATGATGGTCAAGAAAAGAAGATGACAAATCAACAGTTCTTCAGTTTCTTCTTCAGAGATCTGATCATCTGACAAGTCATCTGACTTCTGCTCAACACACTTTCATAGCTTTGGCAGCAGCATAGATGGTGAACCCCTCTCTATTAAATAATCAATATTCATGAGTCTCAATTGCTTCATGAATTTTTCAAATTTCTGTCTAGATAAGATCTTTGTTAAGCCATCTGCAGATATATTATTGCTTTCAATCCAGATAATATTCAATTTCTTATTAGTAACTGTCTGCTGTAATCAGTGGTGATGAATATCAACATGGTGAAGCTTTGTAATTAGTTGCAGAGCTGCTGAAATCAGTAAATGAATTGTCTGCACATTATCACATAAAATATCAAAATCTCTTTCTAATTTCAATGTAATATTCTTAAATAAGCATTTCCACCACATGGTCTCTTTTGCCATATAGAATAGTGCTAGAAGCTTGGCTTTAATTGAAGACATTGTAACAGTCTTTTGTCTGAAGAATTTTCAATCAATTAAATCTTCAAAGAGCTTGAATACAGAGCTCTGAAAGAAGCATCTAGAGTTCAAATTGTCTGCAAAAGAAGAATCACTGACAATTATTAAATGAATGTTAATGACATTGGAATTATTATTCTCTCTCTGAATATTCAACCCATCATTGGCATGGAATTCAAGAGCATAGTATGAAGGTCACCACCAAAAGTTTTGATCCTCAGGGGCTTAGCAGCAGTAATATTTCCAAATGCATACAACATAATTACTGTACACTAGTGTAACCAGACTGAAAAGAGGCTTCTTTTGATTTCTGTCTGAGCTTTAAAAATGATTTTGTATGAAGAGCTTGATCTCTACTCCATGTGCTCCATATTCTTTGTACATGAAGTAGGAGCTTTGAACAAGCTTTTACAGTCATCATTCAAAAGTGTTGGCTGTGAAGTCTAATTTCTACCCCTCAGAAAACAATCTCTGATGAAGCAAGCAATTCTGATTCAGACATAGATGGTGATTTTGAACATGATTTAAGTGAAGATCTATCTCAGTTTGATGGACTTGGTTTAATAGAAACAGTAGAGGTTGAAGAGCTGTAGAATTTTCAATTTAATATGGTGATTTTAGAATGGAGGGAGATGAAGGAGTGCATACTCCATACAGAAGCTTGTTGACTTATATTTAGTTGATTAATTGATTTGGTGGGGTG